TCTATTTCTGTTTAACAAAAATCCCAACAGCATAAAATACGAGGCTTATTACAGCGTCCTATTTTAGTGCAACGCTACAGCTGGTCGAATGTGTCCCGAAAAGTGAAAACTTATTCACTGATAATATTTAAGTACCTGGAGGACCGAGCTTTGCTCGGTTTGTTTTTTTGTATCACGTGCTCCGCGGTGAAGGAAAACATCGTGATGAAACCTGCATATTTTCGAAATAATTAAAAAAAATTTCGAAGATATGTGAAGTCCGCAAATCCGCAGTGGGGCCGCGTGGTGGACTATGCGCTGATACCCTCTGTATAGAGGAGGCCTTTGCCCAGCAGTGGGACATGTATAGGCTGTTACTTTACTTTCTTTACTTCTAAAAGAATTGCTCGTTTAAAGGTTAAGATTGTATTTGAATGGTAATGTTAATCTCGTACCTATATTGAACACATAGCTATTACTACTACTATGTGCTAAAATTGGGTATGTAACGCATTTCTTTTGTATGTATTTTTTCCTTGTTCCGTTTTAATGTTATCGCGTGTTGGTCTCATTCCACTGCACTCATCTTATATCCATTTCGATTTTTACTTAAAAAAGTACGCGAGGAAGAAAATTTATTTCCCTTGTAATAAGAGTTTTGAAATTTCTTTATTTGTAAGGAAACTGGCAACAGAAATGCCGGTCCTACGCAATGATAAGTATAATTGAATGTACTTAAATCTATGCACATAAAAGCGATATTAAAATTTTTAAAAACAAAAATATCCTTTGTAAAAATTAACTTTAGCTTTATGTCAGAGAACAATAATGGTTTATCTTATTTCTGTTCATTTAAAAATCAATCAAGCAATATGTTATTTGTGAGTTTATTGATCTTATGAATTGAGTGAATTGTAATAGAAGTGATTTTAATGATTTAACTGTAAATTGGTAAATATTCAATTGGTAGTATAGGCCACTTTATGGACGTGGTAACTATGTGATTGAATTCTGCATTCCGATTGGCTTTCATTTGAATTCGGCAGAAACCTAACGCGGAAAATAGCGCATATAAAATCAAGCAATAAATCTCGAAATGAAATAATTTTCCTTTTCCATGTTTAGTTACAAAAACCCTTGCTAGGTTCCAGCAACTTGCCTCGTGTGAAACAGGCTTTCTTCTTCCTCTTCGTCGTTCCCTCACTAATGAGGATCGTGACCAAATGTTACTTGTCGCCATTTGCTTCTATCATGCGCCAGTTCAATGGATCGTTGTAGTTTCTCCAGTTGCCTCTACAATACTTTTACTCCATCGTGTTGGAATTCGGCCCCTGGAGCGCTTCCACTGCATCAACAGAAACAGGCTTTACTTATGTGCGTTTACGTGAGAAAAACCGTTATATTTAAGGTTCGACATAGTGTGAATGATTTGTACCGTACACGATGGTGATTATTGTATTTTACATTCAAGTAGGAATCAAAGTCCTGCGAATTTTAGAACGAAAAAGTTTAACATTTGTGTTGTGATCAACTCGTAGACCTTTAAAATGTTAGACCATTAATATAGCAAAAACGCGTGTATTAATTTCGTGAGGGGTTTAATTTTATGAGTTGATATAAAATTAGTAATAGAATGATGTTGTCATTTATCGTTTGTCGAAAAAGAGCTCATATAAATTTATCTTTGACAGTACAATTTAAGTATACAGTAGATACAATGTTATTATTTTTTTTACATTATTCATCAAAAATAATTAATATTTGAAAGTATTTCAAAACGTTATATTCAACTTAAATAAAGGTATAATTGTCAAGGTGATCTTCAAAGCAAAAATGTAGACCTCGCATATGTATGTATATAAATGTCTTTGTTAATAATAGGCCAAACATAGATAGATGTAATATTTTCGCGTCATGGGGTTATCGGTCACTTAGCTAATTTGGTAAAGCGTCTGGGCGCGGAAACCAGAGGACGCAGGTTCTAATCCAACAGGATAGAAAGTTTTTGCTTATATATATATAAAAAAATTAAAATTCAACGTTCCACTTAACTTTTCCGTATTATTTATCACTTTGCAGAAATAGGTCGATATTAGCCACTCTGCCAGCCCTATAGTATTTCCAAAAAAAATTCGGGTGGTTTTGGATTCGGCCATTATATGAAAACAACTTTGAAAATTCATTTTGCAAATTATGTAATAATTGCTGATTTCGTTGTTTAAGTGACTCTTCATAACGGAATTGGGCATATATTAGGCACCATCATTTATTAAGTCTAACCTTAAACTTAATTTAAATGCTCCTATTAAGCAAATAAGAGACGCAAATAATAGAAACAAAAGAGCCGTATAAAGTAAATAATGTGGGAACAAATTGTACTGTAATAATGAAACCGCCCGAGTAAAGACTAAGTTAGTTTTCAAGTTTAGTTATTTATTTCTGAACAAGAACAACAACTTTGTGCATTGAGTAGTAGTTCATGTTATAGTTTTATTCGAATCTAAACATTTTAATACAAGGACAAATTTTGCATTTGTTTCTTTTGCAACGAAATAGCAGAATGAGTTATAATTATGGTTTAATATGTTTATTTCTTTCCTTAGGCAAAGGAATAAATGTGGAAAAATAAGAAGTAGCTACAAGACATTGAGTTGCTATAAATCAAGTGGTAGGTTAGTACAGTGACAGACACACTATAGAAATCTATTTAATTTATCTGAAATTTGCTTAAAGTACTGATTGTATTAAAAATTGTTTAATATTGTTAAACATACAGTGATTATGATATATGTATATAGTGTACAGTAGGTACCTGTCTAGTAACTAAACAACATAAAACAAATATTGTGTGTTTTTAGATAACAAATTCCCTATCTATTTTTTATAATATACAAATGCAATACTTGCCGTCATCATGTGTAAATGTTGCAATTTACAGCATGCAATACTTTACGAATAACATTAAATATTAATATTTGTAACGACAGATGTAGCCATTGGTCTTAAATTTTTTTAACATTAGTTTTTAATTTTGGTGCTAGTCTCTGCACTCAAGATGAAACTTTAAATTGTAAATTTTTGTAGATAAATGAACAAAAACTTTTGGCTCTGCACGATTCGAACTTGCATCTTCTGGTCTTTGGGCTCAGACGCTTTACCAACGATGAAACGGAGCGAAAATCCTGACATCTATCTACGTTCGGTCTACTGCAATGCTGAATTTCAAATAATCTATTCCAAATTTTAATATAATTTTTGTGATTTATACATTATAAGTACTTTGTCCAAATGTTGCTGTTAATGAATAATGTGATAAAAATAAATGTGACCACTCCGGACGATAAAGCGTCACATCGTAAAAAGTTACATCCAGGGAAAAATTTAAGAGGTCTCGATTTTTGTTACTAATTAAATCAGACAATCGACAACGAACAGTAGTACATTTCGAATATTGTTTGTTTTTTTATGTGAGAAAGCGGCTAACGAGCTGGCGGTTCACCTGGTGTTAAGTGATAACCGCCGCCCATGGACATTTGCAACACCCGTACGGTTGCAAATGCGTTGCAACCTCTAAATAACAAAAGCTCTAAGTAAGAATTTAGAAATGTAAACGCGAGCAAGTCTTAGAAATATAAATTATGACGTCTAAAATTACAAGAGGAATCATGAGTATATCAGCGAGAATTTTAAACAATTAAAATAAAATGTTGTTACAAGCATTCATGACAAATCAATCAGAATTGAATTGAATGTAGAATGGTCTAGCTGCCTATATTTTCAGGGGCCGCACATAAAATGCCACAGTAAGCAAGACCTTCGCTGTAGCTAAGACCAGAAATACTACGTTTCCTTGCACTTTTACTTACGAATGATCACATTATACGCATTAAGCAATCTTGGTATGACGGTAAATTTTTACATTTTGTAAAATTTTTTTAATGAAGTGGGCCCCGGCTACCTCACTCACCAGACGAAACGCAAAAGTGTAACACTTCTACTTGATGCCGGTCTTCTGTGAGGTTATGGTACTAACCCGGACGGGCCTGCCCATTCGTGCAACGGCAAACACTATAACGTGGCCCTACCACCGAAAAAACCTCACAAAAGACAGGCGTAAAGTAGGAGTATTAATTCACTTTGTCCGCTTGCACCTAAACTCCTCTGATTACACAATTTATTTTACACATTTAATACAACTTATTTTTGCTACATTAGAGAGTTTTGGATTTGACCGGATGTAAAAATCACCCTTAACTGCCTAAGAAATATAGTTGTATACAGTTTTATTGAAGGGTAGTATCCATATGTAAAAAAATATATTTCATTTATATACCTAATAATTGTCATATATAATTTAAAGGAATTTTTACACCTTCCAACAAATCGCAGAAATATTTTTTAAAAGTACAAAGGAAGTTTAAAACGCATGTCATATTATTATGTAAAATAGTTTTCTACTACATTTGTGAACTCCAACGATAACAAGGTAAATTTGAAACAGAATAATTCACGAGCTTACTGCTGCGTTTTCCATTATTTAGTTGCAGTCGCAATTCGGAATAGAACTTCCTTTCGCATCAAGAACTATGTACGGCTTTTTCACAAAACAGCGAACATTTCGTGATAATTATTTATTTATTTATTTATTTATTTAAAGGACACCAGCAGTACATACATTCAACGTTTAAACAAAAGATTACAAAAAAAAAAATCTGATGTATGTACCTTATTAGGTGACACAGCATTATTAAATATTATTAAGATATAGGATTATTTTTGAAGATATGTGAAGTCCGCTAATGTTAGTCCGCAGTGGAATCTCGTGGTGGATGCTATGCTATGCCATTATACACTCTGTACAGGGGAAGACTTTTCCTAACAGTGGGACATTTTAAATGCATTTGCTGGATAGGCTGTAACTTTATCATTTCAGTGTTTGCCTCGGCTTGACCTTTCGGAGATAACTTACCCTTCCTAAACACGCACACATATGCTAGCTACTTACTATGATCTGTCTCTGAATGGATTCAAGGCCCCCGCGAAGGGTGCGCGGGGAGAGGCGGCGGCAGGCGCGGGTTACGTCCCGCGCTCTCGTCAGTACGCTTATATTTTCCTAGCGTGCGCACGTATGCTATTTGCTTTTGCTTAATTGCTTAATATGAATATAAGTTATTATTGTTCAAAGTGTTTCAACGTTGCTGTAACGTTACTCATTGGATATAGTGTAAGCAATTTTATTTTGTCTCAGTTTGTATGTATTTTTCTGTTTAAGGTGCGGATTCGCCTGTAAAAGAAGATTCTTAGCTTTGGCTACATGCTTTATAGATTTACCAGTGTTACGTGTCATGTTTGTCGGACACATCATCCACAAACGTTGTGTTAAGTATTTTTCGTATTTGTCGGACATGCCATCCACAATATACGTACTGAATACTACATTTCAGCCCACAAAACTGTGGCTGCAATTTTTCGACATGTCGGCCAATCAGCCACTGTCTTACTGATGGATACCCGAAAGGTTAACAGCACGCGTCTCAAATTTGGAGCGGGGCGCCTCGAATATTTGACGGCGCCCCTCAAAAATTAAGCGGTGCGGCTCAAAAATCGGGCGGCGCGGCTCTAGAAGCGGGCGGCGCGGCTCAAAAATCGCGGCTCAGCAGTACGCACTGAGCTCGTTAAGAAGTCTGTTGAAGCAATTCAACACTTCTACATACACGAGTTGAAGCGGACAGGATACTGGCAGGCAATCTTTCTCAGTCTGAAGGAACTTGTCGTAAGCGGTGGAGTATCTTAATGAGCAGTAGAGCCAGAAAGAAGCGTAGAAAGAGGTCTCCTTTAATGTCCAGGCATGGTGCGTTAGAGAGGAAGATGGATAATATGTACACCATCCTCATGGAAAAGATCGAAGCGGTTCAGCCTTCAGAAAATCGTACACACCCTGAGTTAGATTCCGATGATGATTGCTTAGGCTCTGGGGACATTAATTCGGAAGGCTCTGACGTCTGTCCTTCGTGGAGGACCCCAATCAGTCACTAGGAAGAAATATCTTCTCTTAGACCGGAGGAGAAACCACTTTCTCCATCAGAATTTGATTTCCTACCACAGGTAAAACAAGCGGATCCACTGATCCCAGATACCACCACACAGATAAAGAGGAAAGGCATCGAGTGTCAGCGGTTGGGGCATGCCTCCATATATCCTCGGTGGAACCGAATCTGTTACAAAGAAGTGGACAAGCTCCTTCTAGCGGCACCAGTTTTTTAGCACACTAAAACTGAATATAGAGTTGAGCTCAATTGCGCTGCCATCAGCTTGGCTTTTAAAGCAAGACGGATTGCTAGGTACTATTGTCCGTGGACTCCTCATGCAGAGGCCATTCTCTGGCTGAGAATTTCAAAGAGATTTCCAAAAGATGTCCGGAGGCCGCAGAACAAATGTGATGTGTTCTTGGAAAGGACTCCCAGTTAAGGAAATTATCCGATAACATAATTCAATACGTGTGTGCTCATCGAGCAGAAACTTTTGAGTTTAGACGAAGAGCCTTCAAGCCCCGTAATAGAGGGTTAGTTGCAGCATTGTAACAGATTTCCCCCTTGGTGTCTCACCCTTTCTACGAGAAAAAGTTCCCAGCATTTGTGAAGATTTGTAATGGGGGAGTAAGTCGTATTTTTCATACCAGAGAGAAATGTCCAGATAAAGGTTCATTTCCAAGGGGCGGTTTTCGAAAACCAACGCAAGCTCCAACACAGGCTAAGGGTAAACGAAATCCTTGGAATGCACGGTCTATGGCGTCATGCAAGCCCTCGTCCAGTACGTCTGCCTTCCGTTCCAGCCAATCCAAACAAATAGGGAAACAGTGTAGAAATAAAGGACGGTCACAGGCCAATCGAAGATATTGACGGTTTTCGGGGAGGGCAGCTAGGGGTTATACATTACAATGGGAGAACTTACAAGCTCCAAGAGCAGTCCTAAAGATAATTTCAGGTTACGCAATTCCTTTTGTAACCAAGCAGCCCTCCATTCCTCTATGCGGGAAATCTCGGTTCGCAACAAAAAAGTCAGAAGCGATGACCAACGATTTATAAGAACTTCTAAGATCAGATGTTGTAGAGAGATCTCATAAGCCTCTACCGGTTTACTGTAGCGGATGTTTCTCATACCAAAGTCAAACGGAAAACTCTGATAGATCTTCGATATCCGTCGTCTGAACGCATTTCTCAATCCGCCAAAGTTCCGCTTGATAAATCAAATGCAGGTTCCCAATATTCTACAAGAGGGCGACTGCCTAGGGAAATTACACATCAGTAAGGCCTACTTTCATATACCGATGAGAAAGAGCCATCGAAGGTATCTGTCTCTCCTTTACGAGGGGGATCCATTCGAGATGACATCTCTACCGTTTAGCCTGTCCAGCGCGCCATTGGCTTTTTCTCTCGTTACCAAATGGCTCGCAAGAGTTTTGAGAAGACAGGGATTAAGAGTTCAAGTATATTTGGACGACTTTCTCTTTGCCCATCAGGATCCTGCTGTTCTAGAGGATCAGTTAAGGCTGGCTGTAAAGTTTCTTCAGCATATAGGCTGGTGCGTAAACTTAAAAAAAAATCAGTTATAAAGCCAAAGAGGCAGATAGAATTCTTCGGTATCGTGTGGGACGCAGCGACAAACCCGATGAATTTGCCAGACGCAAAAAGCGCGATTAGTGAGGAACCTAGAAAATATTCACAAAATCGGTCGATGGTCTTGGAAGTCAGGCACAGCCATATTAGGAAGACTATGTTTCGCAGCCTTGGAAACTCCCTTGGGTAGTCTTAACACCAGGCAGATTCAGAGGGCCAGTCGAAAACTCTCCGACAAGCACCCCAAGAAGAAATTTGGAGTTCCCTCATCAGCACATGCAGATTGCCAGTGGTGAATCAAGCATATCAATACTCCGGACAAAATCTTAATTCCGGAACTGACGTGCTCATAAGTACAAATGCGTCAAACCCATACTGGAGTGTTCAACTTGGATATCACTCTCTATCGGGTCAGTGGTCAGAGAACCAGTTGAGTTGGCACATAAACAGGAAAGAGCTCTCTTCGGTGCTTGAAGCTCTCTGTCGCAGTTTCAAGAAGCGATTCGAGGTTGTTCAGTGATGGTGCAATCCGACAACAGGACGGTAATCTCTTACCTGAGAAATCAGCGAGGAACACGGTCAATCGTTCTTCTAGAAGCAACAACTTGAAGTTAGCCGACATTGTAGACGTGACGCTTCATGCTTTCTATCTGCCTGATCGCTACAATATAATAGCCGATTGCCTATCGTGCGGAAACGGGCTTCCAGATTGGCACCTCAAGGGGAATGTTGTGAAAATGATTTTCAAGAAATGGGGTACCCCTCAAGTGGAGTTTTTCGCCACGAGTCAGTCAACGGTTGTTCCAGCTTATGCGTCAATAGAGGCAATCATTTTCAGCCGAGATTGGCAATACAATCTTGCTCGGGTTTTTCCACTGCCGCCCCTGATACCCAGGGTGCTTCGTCATCTCAACAAGTCGTCGGGGACTTTTCTTGTAGTAGTTCCTCGATGGGAATCAGTGATCTGGAGAAACGACTTGAAGCGACGGGCTCTGGGGGCTCCTTCTCAAATTCGTAATTTGAAAGTGTCTGATAGATCTGTCTGTCAACCGCCCATCTTCACAAGTGGAAGATCTGCTAGACGTCTGGCGGAGTGAACTAGTCGTTGGCCTAGATCCAGATGACGTTAAGCATCTGCAATCAGCGTGGAGAGATTCCACTTGGCGCACTTACAGTTCCGCATGGAAGCAGTGGGTATCTTGGTACAAGGAAAGGGAAAAAGAACCCAACAATCCTAAACCTCAAAACGTCGCCGCTTACTTGGGTTATTAACTCGAGCCAAATATTTGGTATAGCCTACAATTCTAGTTCACATCAGTAATTCTAAATCTTTCTGTTCCTACTCAAGAGAAACGACTTGCCAGTCACCCTTTGATAACAACCCTTTTAAAGGCGATTAGTGTAAAGAAATGCTTCTTTGCGAGGTCAAAATCATAGATATGGAACGTTCAAGATCTCCTTCAGTGGTTACGATCGTATGTCCCGGCTGACGATAATATTTTTCAAGTATCTAGACACCTTTTTATTTTACTTCTGATAGCTTCAGGACGCTGTATTCACGATTAAACTATTCTAGATATTGACGAACACCATTGTGAAAGAGCCGATTCCTCCATAACCTTTTGGCCCAGGTTTGAGTCCAAAACGGACAATACCAAGTATCGCCCATCTGGATGGCACCTAATTTATTCTGAAGATCCAGTGATTAGCTGGACTAGCTGGGTTATCGCTTAATCGAGTTAGCAGCCAATAGGCGATGAGCGCGAAAGGATCTATTCAATCTGTTTATCACGACACGAGGTGAAGTAAACGCAGCGTCAAGGTTCGTGATTGCTGGATGGCTCAAGACGACTTTTAAAGAGCTAAGCAGGCATAGACTGCGGTCCCGGGTCCATAAGATCAGCAGTAGCTTCGAATGATTTCCAATTTAATGTCCCGTTAGACATGATTCTGCAACGGAAAACTGGAGAGGCTCACGACACGTCTTTAAGCATTACTGGAAATCAGTAGAACGTAAGCAGGACCCCAACGCTAATGTTTTAAATAGTTCCTTTAAGGCTGTTGAGTGAACACTAGCTAAAGCATTTATAAACTATTAGTGATGTATATTTTTATGGTACACGTCCTGGAATAGTTTACATTAAATCATTATTAATAACGCTATCGAGTCGTTTTCAAGTCTGATTAAAGTTTAATTAGCTAGCCTAATAAATGTGATTTTAGTTTTAACGAGTACCTACTCTAATAATTAAAATCTTTAGGTATGAAAATACTTAGATTATAAAGTTTTATTCTTTAATATGAACTTAATATTTTCTTTATGTCCATTACGACCTTACAAGGACTTATTTCAGTCACCAGTCACAGTACGCTTTAGAGCGCCGGCAGATGGTCTTGGAAGTCAGGCACAGCCATATTAGGAAGACTATGTTTCGCAGCCTTGGAAACTCCCTTGGGTAGTCTTAACACCAGGCAGATTCAGAGGGCCAGTCGAAAACTCTCCGACAAGCACCCCAAGTTAAGTACAAATGCGTCAAACCCATACTGGAGTGTTCAACTTGGATATCACTCTCTATCGGGTCAGTGGTCAGAGAACCAGTTGAGTTGGCACATAAACAGGAAAGAGCTCTCTTCGGTGCTTGAAGCTCTCTGTCGCAGTTTCAAGAAGCGATTCGAGGTTGTTCAGTGATGGTGCAATCCGACAACAGGACGGTAATCTCTTACCTGAGAAATCAGCGAGGAACACGGTCAATCGTTCTTCTAGAAGCAACAACTTGAAGTTAGCCGACATTGTAGACGTGACGCTTCATGCTTTCTATCTGCCTGATCGCTACAATATAATAGCCGATTGCCTATCGTGCGGAAACGGGCTTCCAGATTGGCACCTCAAGGGGAATGTTGTGAAAATGATTTTCAAGAAATGGGGTACCCCTCAAGTGGAGTTTTTCGCCACGAGTCAGTCAACGGTTGTTCCAGCTTATGCGTCAATAGAGGCAATCATTTTCAGCCGAGATTGGCAATACAATCTTGCTCGGGTTTTTCCACTGCCGCCCCTGATACCCAGGGTGCTTCGTCATCTCAACAAGTCGTCGGGGACTTTTCTTGTAGTAGTTCCTCGATGGGAATCAGTGATCTGGAGAAACGACTTGAAGCGACGGGCTCTGGGGGCTCCTTCTCAAATTCGTAATTTGAAAGTGTCTGATAGATCTGTCTGTCAACCGCCCATCTTCACAAGTGGAAGATCTGCTAGACGTCTGGCGGAGTGAACTAGTCGTTGGCCTAGATCCAGATGACGTTAAGCATCTGCAATCAGCGTGGAGAGATTCCACTTGGCGCACTTACAGTTCCGCATGGAAGCAGTGGGTATCTTGGTACAAGGAAAGGGAAAAAGAACCCAACAATCCTAAACCTCAAAACGTCGCCGCTTACTTGGGTTATTAACTCGAGCCAAATATTTGGTATAGCCTACAATTCTAGTTCACATCAGTAATTCTAAATCTTTCTGTTCCTACTCAAGAGAAACGACTTGCCAGTCACCCTTTGATAACAACCCTTTTAAAGGCGATTAGTGTAAAGAAATGCTTCTTTGCGAGGTCAAAATCATAGATATGGAACGTTCAAGATCTCCTTCAGTGGTTACGATCGTATGTCCCGGCTGACGATAATATTTTTCAAGTATCTTCTTCTGATAGCTTCAGGACGCTGTATTCACGATTAAACTATTCTAGATATTGACGAACACCATTGTGAAAGAGCCGATTCCTCCATAACCTTTTGGCCCAGGTTTGAGTCCAAAACGGACAATACCAAGTATCGCCCATCTGGATGGCACCTAATTTATTCTGAAGATCCAGTGATTAGCTGGACTAGCTGGGTTATCGCTTAATCGAGTTAGCAGCCAATAGGCGATGAGCGCGAAAGGATCTATTCAATCTGTTTATCACGACACGAGGTGAAGTAAACGCAGCGTCAAGGTTCGTGATTGCTGGATGGCTCAAGACGACTTTTAAAGAGCTAAGCAGGCATAGACTGCGGTCCCGGGTCCATAAGATCAGCAGTAGCTTCGAATGATTTCCAATTTAATGTCCCGTTAGACATGATTCTGCAACGGAAAACTGGAGAGGCTCACGACACGTCTTTAAGCATTACTGGAAATCAGTAGAACGTAAGCAGGACCCCAACGCTAATGTTTTAAATAGTTCCTTTAAGGCTGTTGAGTGAACACTAGCTAAAGCATTTATAAACTATTAGTGATGTATATTTTTATGGTACACGTCCTGGAATAGTTTACATTAAATCATTATTAATAACGCTATCGAGTCGTTTTCAAGTCTGATTAAAGTTTAATTAGCTAGCCTAATAAATGTGATTTTAGTTTTAACGAGTACCTACTCTAATAATTAAAAAATCTTTAGGTATGAAAATACTTAGATTATAAAGTTTTATTCTTTAATATGAACTTAATATTTTCTTTATGTCCATTACGACCTTACAAGGACTTATTTCAGTCACCAGTCACAGTACGCTTTAGAGCGCCGGCAGATGGTCTTGGAAGTCAGGCACAGCCATATTAGGAAGACTATGTTTCGCAGCCTTGGAAACTCCCTTGGGTAGTCTTAACACCAGGCAGATTCAGAGGGCCAGTCGAAAACTCTCCGACAAGCACCCCAAGAAGAAATTTGGAGTTCCCTCATCAGCACATGCAGATTGCCAGTGGTGAATCAAGCATATCAATACTCCGGACAAAATCTTAATTCCGGAACTGACGTGCTCATAAGTACAAATGCGTCAAACCCATACTGGAGTGTTCAACTTGGATATCACTCTCTATCGGGTCAGTGGTCAGAGAACCAGTTGAGTTGGCACATAAACAGGAAAGAGCTCTCTTCGGTGCTTGAAGCTCTCTGTCGCAGTTTCAAGAAGCGATTCGAGGTTGTTCAGTGATGGTGCAATCCGACAACAGGACGGTAATCTCTTACCTGAGAAATCAGCGAGGAACACGGTCAATCGTTCTTCTAGAAGCAACAACTTGAAGTTAGCCGACATTGTAGACGTGACGCTTCATGCTTTCTATCTGCCTGATCGCTACAATATAATAGCCGATTGCCTATCGTGCGGAAACGGGCTTCCAGATTGGCACCTCAAGGGGAATGTTGTGAAAATGATTTTCAAGAAATGGGGTACCCCTCAAGTGGAGTTTTTCGCCACGAGTCAGTCAACGGTTGTTCCAGCTTATGCGTCAATAGAGGCAATCATTTTCAGCCGAGATTGGCAATACAATCTTGCTCGGGTTTTTCCACTGCCGCCCCTGATACCCAGGGTGCTTCGTCATCTCAACAAGTCGTCGGGGACTTTTCTTGTAGTAGTTCCTCGATGGGAATCAGTGATCTGGAGAAACGACTTGAAGCGACGGGCTCTGGGGGCTCCTTCTCAAATTCGTAATTTGAAAGTGTCTGATAGATCTGTCTGTCAACCGCCCATCTTCACAAGTGGAAGATCTGCTAGACGTCTGGCGGAGTGAACTAGTCGTTGGCCTAGATCCAGATGACGTTAAGCATCTGCAATCAGCGTGGAGAGATTCCACTTGGCGCACTTACAGTTCCGCATGGAAGCAGTGGGTATCTTGGTACAAGGAAAGGGAAAAAGAACCCAACAATCCTAAACCTCAAAACGTCGCCGCTTACTTGGGTTATTAACTCGAGCCAAATATTTGGTATAGCCTACAATTCTAGTTCACATCAGTAATTCTAAATCTTTCTGTTCCTACTCAAGAGAAACGACTTGCCAGTCACCCTTTGATAACAACCCTTTTAAAGGCGATTAGTGTAAAGAAATGCTTCTTTGCGAGGTCAAAATCATAGATATGGAACGTTCAAGATCTCCTTCAGTGGTTACGATCGTATGTCCCGGCTGACGATAATATTTTTCAAGTATCTAGACACCTTTTTATTTTTACTTCTGATAGCTTCAGGACGCTGTATTCACGATTAAACTATTCTAGATATTGACGAACACCATTGTGAAAGAGCCGATTCCTCCATAACCTTCTGGCCCAGGTTTGAGTCCAAAACGGACAATACCAAGTATCGCCCAT